TATAGTGACATTGAGTCGGTACCAGTTGAGAGGGTATCACGGGGAGAGGAGAGGGGAGAGAGAAGAGATGCAGGACTCTCATGTTATCATTAACGACATGATGGAACAGTTCCCAACTCTCTCTAATTCACCGTATGTGTCTATGCTCTTATGTATCGATTGTCTTAGAATTTATTTTTTAATATTTTAATGTGAGATTTGTACTATTCTAATTAATGCCTGCCATGTTCTAATTAATGCTCATCCAGGGTTAGCAGTGTGTCTTATTATGGTGTTTTTGATGGTCACAGTGGATCCCGTGCCTCTGAGTTTGCAGCTGGTAATCTTCATAGAGTGATTGTTAATAAATTCCCAAAAGGTAATACTGATTAATAGTAATAATAGTAATAGTAGTGACAAAAAGGCAAAAGAAAAACTAAAAATTTTAAAACAAAATTAATTAATTTTGTTTTTTATCCAGAGGATGTCTCAGCTCAGTCGATCAAACGCTGTCTTGTTGATTCTTTCAAGAAAACTGATTCCGATTTCTTGTCGCTCGCAGCAAAAGCAACGCCGAGTTGGAAGGATGGCTCAACTGTTGCCATCATCATGGCAATGGATAATGTATTATATTCAGGTATTTTAACAACCTTCCACCAATTTACTGAAATTGTGATAATTTATCTTCAATACCGTACAGGGCTTTTATATGGTTGGTACAAAATTTTTTGAATTTGTCGAGATTTGCCATTTGTTAATATCAATCTTATCTTCTGCGGCCATTTTTCCTAGAGTACCATACCTCTTTTGTCGAATTTAATATGAAAATTTTAATGAAAACACAAAATGACTGAAATTTAGATATAACCTTTATACTGTATATAATAATTTTTGGTTGTTCCAGGTAATCTTGGTGACAGTAAATCTGTTATGTACCGGAGAAGTGATGAGGGAGACACTGGAGGAGAGCCTCCCGTAATATCAGTTCCATTAACTAAAGATCATACCTCTGCCAGTGTTAGTTACATTTTTGATTATGATTTTTTCATTATTTTTTGTTTTTTTCAGTTGGAGGAAAGGAAGAGGATAGAAAAATCTGGTGGATTTGTTAGGTGCATATAATCAATCATTCTGTTATTATTATCTTTATTATTATTATTATTATTATTATTATTATTATTATTATTATAGGGAAGGACGTATAATGGGTATTATGGAGGTTTCTAGGAGCATTGGTGATGGGAGGTTCAAGGGGTGTGGCCTCATAGCAACTCCACACGTTTCACGATGTGAACTGACTGAGAATGACCTGTAAGTATGAATGATTACACCATCCAGGAATAATAATTTTAATAGCTCAAAAAATATTGTTTGAATTGGCTCAACACACTAGATCGATAGTATAATACATTAGTGGAATTTTTGGAGCAAGAAAACACATGATAATTATCTACTACTCTTATATTGTTTTAATTATTTTATATTTTCTATGTATCAATTTATTATAGATTTGTAGTGGTTGCTTGTGATGGTTTGTGGAATGTTTTTAAAATGGACGAAGTAGCAAAGTTTATACTAGGAGTAGTCAATGTGAGCATTTTATTATTATTATTATTATTATTATTATTATTATTATTATTACTATTTTTACTATGGTGTTACTTCATTTAGGATGAATCTATTCAGAAACCAGGAGAAGGTGCATATGTAATGTATTCATTATTTTTAATGCTGGATCTTTTTGTTGTTTGTAGATGATAGATTGATTCAAGGCACTGAAGTCGTCAGTGATAGAGAGTATAGGTTTGAAGTGGCTTGTAACAGGCTGGCAGTTGAAGCAGTCAAGAGAGGGTGTACTGATAATGTAACTGTTCTTATTGTTGACATTATAAAGAATAACAATCATTAAGAAATTGAAGGCATTGGCTTGAGTGCCATATGCATGTTCTATAACTCATTTTATGCAATTCGCAATATTGTGTGGTGATAAACTAGCAGGGCTATAAGTGACAGAATAATTTTATTATTAATTCTCACTTTAATGATAAGATTAATAAAATAATAGATACATTATAATTAGGTTACTTTGTACATTGAAAGATAATAATAATAATAATGGCTAGTTTTTCATTGCTTGTTCCCAATCTTCCTTCAACACGTCAGCAGCACGAGCTACTGGTCCACCAACATTACACAAAGCAGTTAGGAATTTTCCACATTCCTTCTCAATCTCAGACTGTGTCCCTATTATTGAAATGCTGGCTAAAAAATATCTAATAATTGTATCATAGGTTGGTGATCTGTGAACATCTTGTGTTATGATTCCAACTTGATAAAACTCATTTGCAATACTACCCATGGAGAGATCAAAAATATTATTGAAAGCAACCTGGCGACTCTGCAAAACATCACCAAGCTTTTTCTTGATAGTCTCAATATCTTGACCTATAATACAATACATCGTTGTAATGTTTATATGATGACGTTTACCTCTTCCTAAGGAGATTGTTCCAACATTAGCTGCAGTATTTTTAGGTGACTCTAATGTAGTTACTATAGGTTATAAATATAATATTTTACAACAATTAATATTAATAGTGATTCATAACTGATTACCAGATGAATGAGTGAAATCATTTTTAGATACTTCAATATTCCATTGAACAGTAGATGCATCAGATGATGTTTGTATACCATCAATAGATAAAGCATAAGATAGCTTGTTAGTAGCATCAGTTTCATCAGGTTGCACTGATACTTGAATGTATGGGGGCTCAGCACTTTTACTGCTGTAGTGAACAACAAGACTTCTACTTATCTATGAACCACAAAGTAAAGAGATCATTAAGAAACAGTCACTTACTGTAGGAGGATTGCATGGTTTTATTCTCCAGCCATCAATTGTGTGTGATGGGAAATTGTGGACCTTTAAGAAGCAATCCTTACCATCAAACTTATTATTGTAAAATTGAAAATGAAAGCTTGATATCTGAGTACCCAGTAATGACTTTATGCTATCTTTCTCTATCAACTATAATACTATAATAATAATAATAATAATATCAATATTTCACCTTTTTCAAGTGACCCATATCTTGTATTGCAGTTAGATTCATCATCACTTTATCAGGTAAACACTTCTTATAAACTAATGCAAGACAATTCATTGAAGGAGTCTCAACAGTCGGTGTGCGATTGACTACAGTGTTCATCACGTATAATGTACATTAAGCATCATAATACTAACCATTAGTCCATGCTAAACCAGCAGCAGTAGCTACTCCAAGAGCCACAGCAGCAAGAGGAGCAAGACCAGCAGCAACACTGGCACCACCAACAGTCACAGCACCCATCACAACAGCAATCAGTGAGAATCTCTTCAATTTTATAATACCAATTTGAGACTCAGGTGAGAATGATCCTCCTGGTAACAACTCAAATTTAAAAGGGCTGCACTGTTTACCAGGTTGAACCTTGGCTACTACAAAGCTCAGATACTCACTCTGAGATTGAGAGGTCAAATGAGCACAATGTACTAGCTCTACAGTCACTGGTTTATCCAATTGAGGAACAGTAGGAGACACAGATATGTAGCATACACTACTGATCAGATGTGTGCCTCCAGGAAACTCAAAATCTCCTCCCCATAGACCTTGAGCAGCAGCTTCATAGACAGTGCTATCCACTGGAGAGAAGAGTCCATGAGGTAGAGAGAGGGTAAGACCACATTCATCCAACTGTAACTCATGACTACTCTTAGCATTATACAGACACACCTTCTTACCCAATGTTAACATACCATCAAATGGTAATTCTATAAAATAACAGATTATTGATACATTGATATATTAAATAACTCAACTAACCTGCTTTAGTCCAGTAGTCACACTGAATACTCTTAGTATCAGTTGAAATATCTTTCATCAAATATTTCTCCTTTGTAAGTTTAGCTATTTGTATATCTTTTTCAGCCATTTGAGCTTTAAGTTTCTCATTATCTTCTATACAACATGATTAACAATATTATAGCATACACTGAAATTTGAGGTTTAAATTTTGTGAAGTTTTTATAGTATATACACACACACACACATCAAACAAGTGTGTAACTGTTACTGTGTATGTATATACTTACCATCAGTTGGTCCAGTAGACAGTTCCTGTGATACTTTAGTTTCTTTCACTGACTTTACTGTTGTCTTGTCTAGTGGTATAGGTTCAATAACTACTGACACACACACACAGTAGAGGACTATACCTTGCTGACTAGCCTCAAGAAGTGCTTCCTGCAGTGAGGTCTTGTTTCCCTCAGACACTCTTAACTCCTGCTGTAATGACTGAATGCGTTGCTGCAGTTTATCAACCTTTTCCATATGGGATATATAATGATTTTGCCACCATTGTCTTGTTTTAAATAATGATACATATTTGTATTGATAGATAGTAAGATCAGTTGGCTTTAGTACGTGTACTTCACTTGATGTCCATTGACCATCAATAACAACTGAGAGAGAAAGAGAAAAGGAGGAAAAACAAGAAATCATAGAAAAGGGAGACTAGCCGGAGAAAGTGATCGTTATTCATTATTTTAGGATCTATTATAAACTGTAGGAATTAATAAAAACATTTTTGCAGAAACTTTATTTCAAAGCTGCATGTTAATCTACAAACTGTGTACTTTTGCTCAAACATGCACTATGGTAATCTCTCCACATGTAGCTGCATAAATGTATTTCAGTACTGATTATATTAATTATAATAATTTAGTTTTTACCTAGTTCTACCAACATGGTGGAAAAAGGACTACCAATTGATATACTAGTTGGTTCCATGTATCCTCTTCCTACATCTCTTAATTCAGTTGCCCGAGCCCCACCCACTACCATCAGCCATACACAGTCTGGACTCATCGTTATTGATGATAAGGAATGAGACTGTCTACCAGTAACAATTTCAGGTAGAGCAATCTGTTGAATAATAATAAAGTCGTACCACAAATCAACACTATACCTTGTTCCACTGGTACTGACTGATATCAAATAACCAACTATCATTTACTAGTTGACCAAATTGATCCTCTCCACCTATCATTACTAGTATAGGTGAGTCACTGATGATAGTAGTAATAGCATGATTGAGTCTCCCCACAGGCCACTGTACACTAGCAGGTACTACTGGTCCTTTAACACTCTCCCAGTGCTATAGATGATAAGTAAAAAAAATTTACCATTCACACTATGGATTTAGGGAATCATGGTACTTACTATTTTAGTATCAGATTCAAGTTGACATGTATAAACATAATTAAAACATTCAAGAAATTTTCCGTCACCAGCCACTCCTCCACTAAATAAGACAGCTTTATCATTACTGATCTTTGTAAGAGTAAAGCTAGATGTAGGAGGACAACATTGTCCACTAAAAGTTGGAATAATCCACTGCCCTAAAAGAGAAAGATTATAAATAGAGAAACATATTAAATTACACAAGCAATTAATGAAATGTATTACTGGATCTTACTTGTTGATAAATTCAATAAATTATGTTCATTAGTACGAACACGTCCAGTAACCATCTGATCATATTGATATTGTGATTGGTATGTAATGGGTGTAGAGCCCTGTCCTCCTATTACTAGGAGGTATTCTGTACCCATAGACTCCATACATACCATGCCACCATACCCTCTCTTCATTACGATATCGCTATTTGGCATTATATTGCTCCATTCGAAAGTTAAAGTATTAAATAAATTGACATCGTTATAAAAGCAGTTGTCATGCCCACAGTGACCGCCAAAATAAAAGATGTCAGTGTTTCTGACTGTACAAGAGTATCCTATATATCCTAGAGGAGGTGATGTTCCTTTGGTCACATGAGAGGACCAACGACCAGTCCTAAAATAAAATCTTCCAATTTTGGACAACATTTTCTTCTTTTGAGGAGAATCGTGGGTACGTTCAAGTAACCCAGGCTTGTTTCCTCCCCACAAGAACAGTGATTCTCCTACTGCAGGAGCTGAATGTTCAAGTATTTGATCCGGTATAAAGCTATCTGTTGT